TAGCCTGTCCTGGGTATCGCTGCTGTGCGCCCCAACCTTGCCAGGCTAAGTCTACTGTGCGCCCCAACCTTGCCCGGCTGTCACTACTGTGCGCCCCAACCTTGCCTGGCTGTCTCTACTGTGCACCCCAAACTTGCTGGGCTGAGTCTCTACTGTGCACCCTAACCTTGCCAGGCTAAGTCTACTGTGTGCCCCAACCTTGCCCGGCTGTCACTGCTGTGTGCCCCAACCTTGCCAGGCTAAGTCTACTGTGTGCCCTAACCTTGCCCGGCTGTCACTGCTATGCACCCCAACCTTGCCTGGCTGTCACTACTGTGCACCCCAACCTTGCCAGGCTAAGTCTACTGTGTGCCCTAATCTTGCCTGGCTGTCACTGCTGTGTGCCCCAACCTTGCCTGGCTGTCACTACTGTGCGCCCCAACCTTGCCTGGCTAAGTCTCTACTGTGCACCCCAACCTTGCCGGGCTGTCTCTACTGTGCGCCCCAACCTTGCCGGGCTGAGTCTCTACTGTGCGCTCTAACCTTGCCGGACTAAGTCTACTGTGCGCCCCAACCTTGCTGGGCTAAGTCTCTACTGTGTGCCCCAACCTTGCCTGGCTGTCACTATTGTGCGCCCCAACCTTGCTGGGCTAAGTCTCTACTGTGCGCCCCAACCTTGCCTGGCTGTCACTACTGTGCGCCCCAACCTTGCCTGGCTAAGTCTCTACTGTGCACCCCAACCTTGCCAGGCTAAGTCTACTGTGCACCCCAACCTTCGGGCTAAGTCTCTACTGTGCGCTCTAACCTTGCCGGGCTAAGTCTCTACTGTGCGCTCTAACCTTGCCGGGCTCAGTCACTACTGTGCACCCTAACCTTGCCGGGCTGTCACTGCTGTGCGCTCTAACAGTCTCTAATGGATCCCTCAGGATTCTCCATATGCAAGGTCGTCATCTTCAGAGAAAGCTTTACTTCTTTCTTTCCATTGTGCCAATCTGTCCTCTTTTTTTTTTTTTTCTTTGTGAGAGAGGGTCAGAGAAAGACAAAACCAACCCTTGTTTTGTGGACAGGATTTCACCCCACTGCCATTCTCTCATTTTAGCTTCCCAGTTAGCCAAGATTACAGGCCCAGAATCTGAACCTGGACCTCCGATGAGCCTTCCAGCTTCCCAACTGGTGGCTCTATCTATGTGGTAAATTAATCTCTGCCTATAATGGAGTATTTAATCCATTTATAATTAGTGCAATTACTGATCAAGTGGGATATTTGCCATTTTGCTGTTTGGTTTTGCCTGTGTCTTGTCTTCTTGTTCCTCTGTTTATCCATTACTGCCTTAAGTTACATAGATATTTTGCACTGTCTGATCTTGATTCCCTTATTTATTTTATCATAGACATTTCAAGTTAATCTCTTAGTGGTTGTTTAGGGGATTACAGTTAACATCTTAGTTAGGATGATTAATTTTGGAAATTTCAATATTATGCTAAATCTTTGCTATGTAGCACAAATTCTTCCTTCCTCTTCTATGCTATTAAAATTCCACTTTTATACCCATCAGTGTGCCCATCAGTGCAGATATCAAAATATTGCTTTAAGAAATATTCTTTTAAATTGAATATTAGAATGTTAAACCAAAAATACACCCAGTCTTTCATACTTGCTTGTGTGTCAGTAGTTACCTCTACGGGTGCTCTTTCTTTCTTCTTGTGGACTCAAGTTACTGTCCTGTGTCCTTCCATTTCAGCCTGAAGGACTCTCTTTAGCATTTCTTATAGGGGACATTTTCAGTCGATGATGGCTTTTTTTAAGTGTTTATTCGTACAATACCTTTAAGAAAACCAGATTCTGTAAAGTCTGAATTCTTTGTCATGTGTGTCCACTGTGTACCCACTGCCTGCTCAGTTCATGGTTAGAGATTTTCTTAAATGCCTCTAGCCAGTAAGTCTCCTCGTCTTTGATAAGGAGCCGTGTGTAGAGGTCGAATGCCACAGCATTCATTGTTCTGACCGAGATTCACCTGCCTCTTTCTGAATAAATACTCGCCAGATTGCTCTAAGAATAATTATTTTCCAGAGTTCTGATAAAGATATTTTGACCATTTCTTCCAGTTTTCTCATTGCTGTGGAAGAGATAATTTTCAGAAGTTCATCACCTGCCATTTTCCACTAAAATGAGTTTTTAAAGTCTTTCTATGGTGACTACTAATCCCTACAGAAGTATTTCTCAGCCTCTTTGTTTTTATGAGCAGGAATTCCTTTATTGCAAGCACCTTCCTTGTTCTTCGGGAGTCTGGAAATGCCTGTCCTTTGCTCCACCGGAGCTGTGAGCTTGCTTGTGGGTGAGAGCTGACTGTTTTTTTGTTGTTGTTGTTTAGGATTTTGGCCCTTCAAGAAAACTTCCTTCTCCAGTTTAAAATGGATGTAAGTAGTGACATTTCTCTAGACGGGTCTGTGGCATTGTTTGGCTGTGGATTTGAGATGGAGAGAAGGAAGGGGCAGGCAGCTACGTGCCATACCTTTAACTTAGTGGGAGGGTAACAAGGCTGAGGGGGGTCGAGGGCACTGAAGCGCCATTGACTCGCAGGTTATAAAAGTTACCCAGGACCCTGGCCGACTGTCCGACTGACGTTTTGTGTTGCCAGGCTGACAGATTGTTTTCCTCCACACCTAGGCTTGTTCCACTGAAGAAAGGAAGAGGGACTTTGAGACCATCTTTGCCCACTATGATGTTGTAAGTTCACCTCTTCATCTCAGCTCAGCTGCCGTGGGGGCTGTCCCGCCCTAACCCTGAGCGTGGCTGCCCCGGCCTGGGTGCCGCTACGCGGTGACCTTCGCACGGCGCCTGGCCTGGGTGCCGCTACGCAAGTTACCGTCACTTCTCTGCAGCTTCCGAGGGCTGAGTCAGTACGGCCCGAGGAGGGTGTATGGTTGAGAAGAGAATAAAATCAGTTTCTTTTTCTTCTTGGAGTCAGCTAAGGGAAGGTCTGTCCTTGCAGCGAGAAGCTCAGTTTCAGCAGTACGCTCAAAGCAAGCAGACAGAAAGCTCCCACGCCTCTCCCAGAGAAGTAGAGGCACACTCACTCCCACTGGGAACAAAAGCTATTTTTCTTATAGGGCCATTTTTTCTGCCCTTTCTCGGATAGGATGAAATAATTCTAAGATTTCAAGTATGGCAGAAACATTGGATTTCTTCAGTGTAATGTAGGGTTGTCCAAGAAAGGAAGGAAAACAGAGTTAGGCAAGGTTGTAAGGTAATCTCCCCGACACTGGCCAGACCGAACGTCTGTGTGCCCGTGTGGTACAGAAAACGTCACCTGAGAGAGGGTCGGTACAGAAAACAACGTCACTGGGTGAGGCTCTCGCACAGCTGGTACGTGCGGGCCTCTGACCGGCTCCTGGGTCGGCATCCGCCATGTTGGCCGCGTACCCCGAAGCAGACTCCTTGCCTCCCTGTGCTCGGTCTTCCTTGTCTGCGAAACTAGGGCGACAAGGGTGGCAATACCGGCCCCCCGGGGTCGCCACGAGGATGAAGCGAATCCATCTTCCCAAAGCTTTCGCAGCGGTGCCCGGCTCAGCGCGTGCTGTGTCTGACTACTAGGAGGGGCCCTCGGCGTGGCGGGTCCAGGCTCCAGGGTCCAGGGTCCAGGACGGGGAGCTGCCGCAGTGGAGCTTTAGGGAAGCGGCAGCCGAACGTTTTTGGCTGTGTCCCACAGACGTCCTGTTTACCTGGGTTATAAAACGGGCAGACACCACGAGGCCCTTCTGTACAGACCAGATGGGGAGTGTACTATGCCGAGTCAATATAACCCATCGATTTAAAATCTATATTTTAATAACTTCCAAGTCGCCTCTAAACCACAAAGCAAACTTAACATTTCTACCCGTTCTTCAAAGAATCCGTGTGCTGTGTCGCGAACTTAACTGAGTCCCAGCGTTTGGAAGTGAGAGACGCCCCTGTGCCACGTTAGTGCGAGGTGTTAGAGCCGCTGCACGCGCTGGCATGAGTGAGTTGGCTAGTCACGTGGCCACCTGCAGGCTGCGTGGACGGGGACAGAGGTGCCGTTCCTAAGGCTGCTTGCAGTCGCTAGCGAGTACGGGGCTGGCCTGCTAGCCTCATTTAACCCAGCTTCTTGACTTCAGATGGAATGTGGGTGACCGGATCTCCGTCTTTCAGAGTAAAACCGGAGCCCTGGAAGGCCCGGAGGTGGACGGCTTTGTGAAGGACATGATGGAGCTCGTCCAGGTCAGTGCCCGCGGCGGTTCTCGCCGCCCACGGGGCCGCTGTTTGGATTGGTCTCCTTGTTTATTTGTGGGAGTCGGGGGGCTGGAGGTTGGTGGCAGAGAGAAATTGGAAATCAGGGGAAGTATTCTACTTGGGCTTCTGTGAGCCTAGCAGATCTCCCTTGCTTTTTAAAGACGGTTGGGGTATCTTTCCGCCACCTTTAAAGGTCGCCCGGCTTCCCAGAGGCACAGGGTGCCACGTAGCATACCGCCTTCGTTTTTGATTCAGGAAATCCCTTTCCCCAGACGTGGCTGGAGGGCCGAAACGCTAACCCGTGCTGTGCCACCCCGTGTGTGGTGCGCCTTTGTAGCGCCCAGCCTGGGACGGCCACCCAGCTGTGGACCGGCCGTGCAGAGCTGAGGAAGGCGGGCCGAGCTGGCCTCACGGGGCTGCCCCATGCCGGGGGGGAGAGGCGGTGTGCAGGGCTCTCCCCGACGGCCTCAGGGCCCTGCTCCGCAGAGCTCAGGCCCCCTCCCCGGGGGATGTATTCTACTTGGGCTTCTGTGAGCCTAGCAGATCTCCCTTGCTTTTTAAAGACGGTTGGGGTGTAGACTACACGGCGCCACCACAGGGGTATCTTTCCGCCACCTTTAAAGGTCGCCCGGCTTCCCAGAGGCACAGGGTGCCACGTAGCATACCGCCTTCGTTTTTGATTCAGGAAATCCCTTTCCCCAGACGTGGCTGGAGGGCCGAAACGCTAACCCGTGCTGTGCCACCCCGTGTGTGGTGCGCCTTTGTAGCGCCCAGCCTGGGACGGCCACCCAGCTGTGGACCGGCCGTGCAGAGCTGAGGAAGGCGGGCCGAGCTGGCCTCACGGGGCTGCCCCATGCCGGGGGGGAGAGGCGGTGTGCAGGGCTCTCCCCGACGGCCTCAGGGCCCTGCTCCGCAGAGCTCAGGCCCCCTCCCCCGTCTCCGGGCACGAGGCTGACGGCGGCCCTAGGAGCTCGTCTGCCGTCCTCAGGGGTTGGGGTCGGTCTGAGGCCTGAGTGTGGTGTCCTGGTCGGCCGAGACCGCGATCGTCAGCCGGTTCCGGAGACCTGGAGGTCTGAGAGTCTGGTTAGACCAGAACCTCGGCTGGACGGAGTGCGGGGATGGGACGTGGCGCTCAGCCGGTCGGCCCTGAGGGTCCTGGCTCGCCCCCAGAGACTTCCTGGGCACACGGGGTGTGCGTGTGGCGTGACTGGGCTGCCGAAGGCTGGAGAACCGGGCCCTGTCTCTCTCGCACTCTGTGTGTCTCTTGTTCATGGAAGAAAAGAAGTAAATAAGCTTAAAAGACAAACCTGTAGAGTCTCGTGACAGAAAAATGTCCAGGTGTCAGCTTTTGCCTAAATCTCCAGGCTGACCCACGTGGACGGAGCAGGTGCAGGTGTGGACAAGGGCCTCCTGATGTCTGTAGGGTGACTGAGACGGCTTCCACAACTCCGAGCATTTAACGAGAGAGAACACGTGTGTGCAGAGAGAGGCACCTCCACAGGGCCTTGTCCTCCGCAACCCCTTCCCCAGCCGCCAGCTCCTCGGGACCTTGTGGTCCCAGGCACACGCCCAGTGTGTTTTCAGGCCGATCCCAGGGCCTGAACCCTGACAGCACGTGGCTTCAGGTCTTAGAGGGCACTTGTGCTATTGCCATGCCCAGCAGTTGGGCCTGTGGTCAGACCTGTCCCCTAGCTGCCCGGCCTCTCCTCTCCCTGCACGTGTCGCCCAGTGGCAACCTCAGGGGCGCCGCGTAGACGCCGTGGCTGCTGGGCGCTGGTGTGGCGGGCCTGGTGCAGTGCCGGCTGGAGGACAAGCCGGGCTGCTCGCCCTCCGGTTGATGGCGGGAGGGCTCCCATTAAGGAGGGCGCGGCCGGGCGGCTGAGTGCCCGAAGGACTCCCGAGCTCGGCGGCCGGCGGGCGGTGGGAGGCCGAGCCCTGTCTGGAGCTGCCCGGCCCTCTCGGGGAAGTGAGGTGACGGCCTGAGGGTGGAGGCTGGGGCTGCGAATCCTTCCAGACCCGGGGGAGGGCCTGGCCTGCCGCTCTCTGGGAGTCCCCCCACCGGGCGCGTGTGGCCGCTGTCGGAGGGGCCATCACAGCCTCATGCGTCGTCTTTCTTCTTTGCTGTCTCTTCTTGTACAAGTTCTCACCAGAGAGAGAGAGCAAGAGAGCGAGAGAGCGCGCGGGAGAAAGCACCCAAGGGGCATGGTCAGTACTCTGACCTGCTGGGACGTGGGGCATGCACACACCTGCACCTGCTGTTCTCCAAGCTGCCGGGGATGGGATTCGAACTGCAGCTGGCCAAGCTCCCTTAACCACAAGGCCATGGGGCCACCTCTGCTATTCCCTCACTTGAGTTTTGTCTTGTGGGAAACATTTGTTCTTGGGCCTGGGGTGTCACGTGTTGCTGACATCTTTTCTGGTCCCACGTCTTTGTCACGCGCGTGCCCTGCTAGCGTCAGGCCGACTGTGGTCCCAGCCTCCAGTGGTGCCGGCTTCCCCAGGCATGCACTCTGCTCAGACTGCACCCCAGGCAGGGCTGCGAGCGCTGCTGATGGAGTGGAGGGGCCGGCCGGGAGGTTCCTGCAGACACTGCTGGGGAACAAGCTGCCCGTGCACGGCGCTGGTGGGGCCTGCGTCACCCCAGAACTGGCTGTGGGTCACATCTCAGCCCTGCGGTCCAGTCGTTGGGGTTCCCTGGGGGGCGAGTGGACCAGTTCTCCCCCAGCCTGCCCCCCTCTGCTCGGGGGACCTGCCCACCCCGGCTTCCGTGTTCCGTCTCCTCCCTCCTCGTCAGGGCCTGTGTCAGGGAGGGCTCGGGTCGGTCTCTCCCTGCCTCCTCCACGCTCTCAGGTTACGGATGCAAGCTTTGGCTCCCGACTGGAGCTCTGTTAGGTCCCTTGGGAAGCGAGGGTTGGACCGTGGGGTAGGCCTCCCGGGCCCCTGACGTGAGGACCTCAGGCCTCTGCTCGCTCTGGAGGCCACTCAGTCCCTGAGGGGGGCGGGACCCCGCAGCTGGTTGTCCTGGACACGGAGTTTCGGTGGTTTCAGCCGCGTCCACATGTCTCCTTAGGCCAGCCCTTCTTGGGGAGGTGAGGATGAGGGGAGTTTCGGGCTCAGGATCGGAACCGCTGCCCCGGGGTCACAGCTTGGCGAGACGTTCCCTTCTCCGGGCTCCCGTGAGGGCCAGACGAAGCCCCCTGTGCCGAGCGTACTTCGCGCCCCGGTTCCTCTCGGCCCTGGAGTAGCCCTGCCTGGCCTCGCCCCGGCCCACCTGCACCCCGGTTCCTCTCGGCCCTGGAGTAGCCCTGCCTGGCCTCGCCCCTGGCTGTGGACAGCGTCTGCTCACAGGACGGTTACCCTAGAGGCCCAGAGCCTCCCGCAGGGGCGTGGACTGCCCACTTGCCAGCCAGCAGTTTGTGACCCACCCTTGCCGTCCAGGCCAGAGTCTGCTTGGCTGCCATAAGGCAGGTGTCCCCAGACTGTGGAGCCGTCGGGGTGGGCTCCTCGTCCTGGGGGGCTGAGGAATAAAGCCGCCGAAGCCTTACCGGGCAGCTCGGGCGGCCGCTGTCTCTAATGAAGCTCTGGAGGGCGGCCCAGCCCCCGGCCGTGGCGCGGTGGGCACAGGGAAGTGGGGGGCCGGCTGCTGGCCTCACTGACGCTGCTCTCGTCCCCCAGCCCAGCCTCAGCGGGCCGGACCTCGACAGGTTCCGGGAGGTTCTCCTGCGTCACTGCGATGTGAACAAGGATGGCAAGATCCAGAAGTCGGAGCTGGCGTTGTGTCTGGGGCTGAAGGTCAGCCCGTGACGGTCGCGGGGCTTGGCTCTCCCGCCTTCCTGCTCTCACTGCTAGAGCCGCCTGGTCTTGGCCTCCTGCCAGGGAGGTGCAGGCTCGCCCAGCGCCCGCCCGCGTTGCTCCCACTCCCGCCCTGCCGCCCCAGGCCGCTGTCCCCCAGACTCCGGTGTCTGTCCTTCCTGTGTTCTTCCCGTGGCTTTCTGCGGAGCCTGCGTGCTGTGTGGCCCCCAGTTCTGTACAAGTAGACCTTGATGTGCAAATAAACGTGAATAGCCGTGCAGTCAGGTGGAGGGAGCCTGCCGTCTCTATGGTGCTGTGACCTTTGATCTAAGAGGAGGAGAGGCCACCTCCGACGGGAGGCCAGGAGCCCAGGCCACCCACGCTTGGGTGCCCTCCCAGGGCTGCCTCTCGGGAGAGCTGCGTGGAAGGAGCCACCAGGACCTGTCTGTGGGAGGAGACCGGCCCCCACCCTACACCGACGGGCTGGAGGACACCTTCCCGTTCCCGGCAGGCCAGGCACCTGCTGTACCCCTGCCCTCCCCATTCTGTGCATCTCCGGCACACCTGGGCTCCTGGGCTCCGCTGCTGGGTGCCTCTGCTCCCCCGAGGGCTGCTGTCTGCTGGGGAAGGTGGGACCTGAGGCTGTGAGGCCCCACCTCCCTTCCCTGTCCTGACCCATTCCCCAGCTCCCCCCCTTGGGCTGGACGGTGCAGAATTTCAGGCTTAATGAGGCCCTGGAGATCGTTCCCGGAAATCGCAGTGTAGACCGGCGTGTATGGGGACCCCTGTGCACCGGGCCCTCCCTGGCATGCCCTGGTCCTGGTTCTCTTCCCCTTCGGCCTTTCCCAGCTCCGCCAGCAGGTGCAGAGTCGGCACCACGAGCTCCTGCTCCCTGAATGCAGGACCTTGGCGTGCACCTTTCAGGAGGCCTTGGACCGTCCCCGAAGGCTTGCTCCACTGTGGGGTCCACCACCCTGCACCAGTAAGCAGCACAGACGTTTCTTCTCTGGTTTCTGTGTTTCTTTATTTCAGCTCTTCAGAAAAAGTGTCTCGGGGAGGAGAAGGAAACTATGAAAGAAAGCATAACATTTCTTAATCATCTGATAGAAATTGAACATAAAAATGTAGGCAAAGCTTGATCAGCTGGCCCCATGAGAGACTAAGTTGTTTTTTTTTTTTTTTTTTTTGAGGGGTTTTTGCCATAGGCGAAGTGTGCTCACAAAGAAA